TTAAAATTACACCTGGTTAAGCTTTTCTGTAACTTGCCATTAATACGACTTGTACACGGAACGAATGACATTACAATAGGCTGCATTTATATTTCACTGTCTATAGGAAAGGGTCTTCACAGGGGGTAAAAGTGTATTATCGGAAGCTCGCAACGTTGAGGGCAATGAGGCGCAGACTCCGGAGTCATCACTTCTCGTCCGCTTTGCGACTTTCCTTCGAGTTGGCTTGTTTTTATTAAGGGTTAATTTACCCGCCGTCCTGAGGGACTCTCTCGTTACATGTTCAATCTCATGAAAACTTCCTCCGTCTTCCGTCTCTCTCTCGCCGAGGTTTCGCGGCTGCGGCCCTCTCTCTCCTTCGAGGCTCCCGCTGAGCGGATACTCTCGTCCTAACTTCATTTGCTGCTCTTATCTCTTTAATCGAAAAAGAAGGAGGTCGAGGGAAAAAAGTTTGCTCTTCGTTTTCGCCGCCCCCCGCGCCACTAATGGCCAAGTTTCGACGATTTTCTCCGGGCAAAGGGGCGTTTATCTCGAGGAGGCGCTTCTGATCTCTTTTTATTTATCTCTTTCCGATGGAGAAATAGCTCGGGTACCTTCCGAGGACAACATGGTGTGGCTTCGGCTGGTCTCGCTCGCTTTTCGTTTCTACGCTTCGGCTATTCGATGTCCAGCTCTGGTATAGGATGCAAGGTATTCCAGTATCATCTGAAAGAACTGTGTTGGGAGCACAACAATCCGGACGTTAAAATTAAAAAGGCCAATTTTCTTATTTTCCCTCCTTATGTCAGACCCCAATCCAATCGTTTTCTTTCATTGCCAATTCATGACTGGTACTTCAAGAATGAACACTTAAGAAGATCACACTAATCAAAACAATATTTTTGGCAAACACTGAGCATCATTTGGGTTTGATAACAAATCGGTGAATTTTTCAAACAACCGAGAGTGAGTTTCTAAATTAGAAATGTTTGAAATCATAATTGATTATTCATAGCAGGGCACGCATTATAAGTGTTCGATTGCACAGGTCAAATACTAAATAACATCGCTTCTTTAATCTGGTTTTGATCTTAAAACCCTGACCAGATTAACGTCTTCATGAGAATGTATAATGCAAACTTCTTGCTTTCAACATTAAAAAACAGGATAATTTACACGCGGAGAGGTCCTTCTGACTAATTATTTTTTAGTATTTTGATACTGTAGCCCTGTCTCAATGAATGCCCCTTCCTGATTTTGCACACGCTAACTTTCACGTGGCTAGATTCTCATCGATTCTTCTGATTGGTTAGATGAAGGGATCGCCTGAAAATCTAAAATCTTATTGGTGAGTAAATTGTGATTTCTAATCTGTGGTAGCTCCTTCATGTATGAGAAACTGGTCACAGCGTAGAGGCATGCAAAAATATAACGAGTTAGACATAAGCTACATGGGCGTCTGCGCCCGGATCCGCCATCGCAAGCTACAGATTATATTCGAGGAGTTGATTCAACATGGAAGCGAGCAGATCGTGAATAAATTCGAGGGCCAAAGCGACGCCTCTGGGCGCGGGTATAAGCTCGGATAAAAGCGCTGAAGAAAAAACGGTCGACAGATAAATCCGCGACCAGCAGTCAGCAGTGAACCCTTTCAAAAGGCTCGGCTAATTATCTGAATCCTGGCCGCGGCTTAAATAAAACATGGCCGGCGAGTCGCGCCCTATCCTATGTTGCCGCTGTGCTCCACTAAAATTTATCGTCATTCTTTTAAAACAATGATAAAATAATATAAAAAGACATCTGAAACGGATTTTAGCAGTTCGAATAATGTCGAGGTGTTTAAAAAACGCGGAGGATTGACTTATCATTGAAGCTGGATTGGATTACCGAACTCAGACTACTAGACATGATATGAGTTTAAGCATCAGATTTCATGTTTTCTTTTCGAAATTTTACGTAGGATGCGCGATTTAACGACGAAAAGTGTAGAGATCAACGCCTCGGAGATTCCAATATGTGCTTCAAATTTTTGAAATAGAAAATCACACAAATCACGAAATTGATATTATCACCACAGAACTAATGCAATATATGAAACTCACTCATCTTGGCTTTGGAATTGATTTCCGAAATTATTACTGTATTCCACATTAGATTTTAGGGAGAAAAACGGTTTGTACCTTGCCTAATGCCCGATCGTTAACAAAAATAATTCAATTGAAAATGAAAATGTAGGTTTCATAAATACTGTTATCATTTGTGGATCTTCTTTTGTAAACGTATCATAGTTTACCATATTGTACCATTACATCACCTTAGGGTTAGATACGCATCGATACAAATGGAGCCCATCATGAAACATGACATGTAAGGGCAATTAAAAAGTGAGGAGAAAAAATACAAAGTAGAGGGAGTTCAGTTGGTGTTGAAGATAACTAGAGGAATCAAAAAACTTCCAATAAGATGCACAAATCGGCATCGAAAACTAATTTTAAAACTTTTTGACAATACTAGGTGCGCTCTTAATCATGTTGGTGCAAACATGTTCAAAGAAACGAGATACTTTAGCAGGGACTCAATTGCGAAATTTTGTTTCTATCGTGGAGGGAAAATTTCCTGGATCGGTGAAGAAGTGACAACAGCGCTGAGTAAAAGCGCAAACTAAATCCCGGTCTGTGCGTTAAATAATAAAACGACTCAATCGGGCAAATTAAACGATGCTATCTGGTGCATTTGACTTCATTTGAAATGCTGATGCGCCTTTTTCTGAGTCGCGAATCGCATGCATGCTTAGCCCTCGGCGTGGGTTTAAAATGTCAAGCTGTCAACGTTTTGCGCCCCAACCCCACTCAAACAGCGCTTTAAATTTTAATCCTAGATTCGACCACGCTCACAAAAATAGATTGTTTAGCTCATATGATCAAGGGACCTTTTGAAGGCCACAGGCATGACACTACCCCAACGATTTTGCCAAGCGGGGAAACCGCGATTGACGGAATGAAAAATTCAATTTGTTCCACCAACTTCCCTCGTCGATCACTTCCCGACGTCAGGAAACAGACTTTGAATCTGATAGCTGATTAAACTTCGGCAAGACTTTTTTTTCTTACACTTCAGCAACGTTGAATGATATGAGGTCAAGGTCGAAATGTTGGATACTAAAGGACGTTGATGAAAAAGTTGAATATTTGATTCGTCGCAAGTTTTCAATATGTTTAATTTTAGCTGCCTTAATTTAGATTGAAATGGTACAAAAAGATCTACAAACAATGGATGACCAACATACTTAAAGAATACAAGGAAAAGTTGGCGGACGCTTGTAACAAGTTAAAATTGAACCAAAAACAAAGATAGAAATGTGTACGTCGTATTGAATGATATAAAATAATTCGTCGCAAGTGAGTTTCAAAGTAAATTGTAAAAGTTTAACTGATTGACGTAGCTTGTAAAGATACGTCACTCCCTTAATTCAAAATTTAAAAAAAAAAAAAAAAAAAAAAAAAAAAAAAAAAAAAAAAAAAAAAAAAAACTAGCAGGACGTGATTGAGAAGCTCAAGAGAGCGATTCATCTTTAAAATAATGTTAGTGGCAATCCTTAAACTTACATTGATATAAAGCCGTATTGAGACGGTTCCGGAATCTCCAGCTATTAAATTTAATCCAACTGAACAGAAAATTCGCGAACACGATATGAGTGGCAGCCGCAGAAAACAGAATTAGTCAAAAACTATGCAAGACGCTGAATTTAAACACGTTTGTCTTTGAATTGAACGGAGAGGGAGGCTTCGTTGGACCGCAAATTACGGTTGACCAAGCGGCAGCTTCAGAAGCGGCATCGCTGCACTTGTGAGGAAGGAAAACGAAATTTAAAAGGTTTCCGCGGGTCAGGTCACGTCCCGTCGTCGTGGGTTTGTCTGGAGTCGGCTCCAAAGCTCCATTAAAGCTCCCTCAAAGCTTTTCCCCCGCTTTCGTAACCCAAGTTGAGCTTCGTTTTGATTTCTCCTGAGATTCTCATTGTTTGCTCCTGAAATTGCCCCGCTCTATCCCAACGGTTTTCCACGAACAGGTATTCCTCTGAGCGATGTTAAAATTTTTAATCTGGTTCCATTCAAAAAGGACCAAAAAACTGCTAAAATTATTAAAAAGTAAACGCACAAGAAGGCACTGCATATACTCGGACAAATGGAAATGCAGCTATCCGCCGACCCTAGCTTAAGCCATTCCAGGAATAAATATGAAGCACAAATTACTTGCTATCAGAAGCCAGGCGGTGACAAAACAAACAAGAAAAAACAAAAAAAAAACAAGAAAACAAAAAAATCCCTCTTCTAGAATAGCTATTTGATACAGTCAATTTTTACAGAAACCATGCTTTTAACGACCATCATATTCGTCCTCCTCCTAAAAGGCAAGGAAAAGAAACGTCCCACGCGTGCGAAAGAAATTGACACGACAGAAATGAATAGGAAATCGACAGCATGTCGGTTTTAACGTTTCCACTTATGATAAACTGCAAGTTGATATCCGTGTGGCATTCGGGACGCAATTCAATCCAAATGCAAGTTTTTCTGACGTTCAGTGAGTGGCAGCAGTGCGCCACAAGGAAAAGTTATTCAGCGTACATTTTATTGTAACAGCTTAATTGTTAGAACTCCTTACCTCTTCGGTTTTGATAAACGATTAAGACACAAGTTCAATTACTGATGAAGTTCTTGAAAACACGAGCTCTAACTCTGATGACGGTCATATTTGTTCGGTCCCACTATGAGCACCAAAAATCAATTTCTGAATTGATATAGCTTTATTGGTTCTGCAAACAATTCGATCAATTTCGTTTTTTATTGGAGCTTTTAGAGTTTTGAAAAGACAAGAGCTTGGGAAAATGTATATCATGGGGCTTATTATAATTTCATGAATAGGCTTATTGTTGTACGTAAGAAAGTAAGTAAGCAAGTATCAGTAACTTTATCAGTCTTCAGCAAACTTTAATGGAGCCGCTTTTGACTTTGTTGGTTATGCAGGACACAAAGATGACGATGGGATCAGGTCAAATCACTCAAGTTCGAGTCTTAGCAAAAAACAACGAAAAGCACGGACCGCTTTCACCGACCACCAGCTACAAACCTTAGAAAAAAGCTTCGAGCGACAAAAATATTTAAGTGTGCAAGATAGAATGGAACTAGCTGCCAAACTGAACTTATCGGATACACAAGTCAAGACGTGGTACCAAAATAGAAGGTAAGTCAATTTTTTCATTTCATTTCTTATTTTATTTTTTTGTTCAGTTTGTTACAGAGGGAATTATGTGCGTTTCCAAATCACTACTAGAATTCGAAATGTTTAATCATCGCACGTCCACACAACATTTCCAATATGCAGTGTACATGAATATCTTAACTTCATTTTGGCATTCGTCGTTACTATTGAATGGCATTGTCTACCATCCACTCTTGCAGGTTGCGAGGTTTAGCTGTTGCAATAAAGCACAAAAACATTGTCCGAATATACGAATAAGTAAGGAGGGAATTAAAACATGGGTAAACAAGGCTAATAACACTAAAAATCAGAAGAAGTGGAACATTAACGTGAAACAATTTTTGTTTCTGCAATCGACCCTCACCCTGGACTTCGGTCCCAGGCGGTCATATGGCGTTGATTCGCTGGCACCGCCGGTATCCGCCTTCTCTTATTGTGTTTCCTTTTGTTAGTTATATTTGTATTTGTACTTGTATTTGTTTCCGACCAATCAAGAGAGGCGGTTACGCCCATTTAAAAAAAAAAAAAAAAAAAAAAAAAAAAAAAAAAAAAAAAAAAAAAAAATAGTGGCCGCCTACACACTAACCAATGTGGAAGATGAGAAGGCAACTCCTGCTCCTATACCAATTTTATATTTATTTATTTATTTTGGTGTTTTTTGCTGCTGAAAATGAGCTGATAACAGCACGGAACGTCCTGCCTTTTGGTGTTTTTAATGTTTTATCCTTGCTTACCCAAGTTTTAATTCACTCTTTATTTAGCTATTGCGAGGTCCAGCTTTTGCAAGTATCATTTCCACGGCAAAAGGGTGGACTTGGCACGGCCGTTAATGGAGAAAACTACAAAAGACAGGTAATAGAATATACGATCAATAAAAACCGAGCGGAAGAAGCGCCAAGCCGAGTGAATAATTCGAGATTTAATTGTATGGAAATGGAGCACCGCCCCCCGGCGCTGCGGCTCCGTTGGATAGAGAAAGACGGAAAGTTCTCGTTGGAGAAGGAGAGCGAGGCTCGGATCTGGTGTGTCCTTTGCTGACCCGTGAGGTCAAAGGGCTGAGGAGAGACGAGACAATGGCACAGATACCCCGAAATTATACGAGTTGATCTCAGATAGGGAACATCATAAACACCGCAATCATTTTCCAGCGATGGTCCCCGGCCGGATAGCAGCAACATTTGCATTCTTTCCGGCCATCCGCTTCCTTCCTCCCTCCGCAGTCCCGGTTATTATTGACCATTTTCTTTTCGGCATCACGCGATTTCGTACAAAATTATACTTTGACTTTTAGCTTTTGCACCTCCCCCTCCCCTTCGGGCGGTAAAATTCGGCATTGTGCAGTGGGACCGTTCTTTTCGTCTCTTGGATCTCCCGGACTTTTACTCCGTGTAACATCAACAACTTCGGAAAAGTTTCGGCTGCTCAGTGCGGATACTGTAGGAGTGAGTTTACACGATTGACACGATGGTTATGGGATGAAATTTAATTCAGAACTTAATGTACATTAATGCCGTAGAGGAGAAACCGTCGATGATGAGTTTCTTACTTGCCTAAAAATAAATAGGATACTCGCGGAGGAATATTCGCAAAGTTCACGTTAGTCTAATTTTCTCTTGGAAGATCGCATTTTCTGGGAGAAAATGTTCCTACCTGCTCTCAACTAAGACAAAGCTGGTCTCTATTGGTCTTATCACGTAGCACTCTAAAGAAGGATATATTTTGTAAAAAGATAAGAAACGTTGTTCAGTGGAAATTTCTTGACGTGTGCTGAAAAGAAAGAGGAAGGAGAAATTCCGCAGAATTACAAATTTTTACGCACAAATTAGCTGATAAATTGCCTAAAATTACAAAAATATTAAACTGATTTTTTTTATTTACAAATTTTACTTCAAAATAACGTGAAACCTACAAGAGTACGTCTTGTAGCTAGCTACATAATTAAATTAATTTCGTTGGTAATAAAGGACCTACGAGTAAAAAAAAAAGTGATAATACAGAAAATTAAATGAAAAAAAGTAGCTTATTCAATTTAGCGAGAAAATTCAGACTTCCTGATTTATCCCACAAATGATTCTAGAAGTACTCACTCCTATTATTTGATACTTTAACTGTTAAATCTTCTTCATAAAGATAAAAACAACTCGAAATATTCTCTCGGCAAGAGTTTCAATTATGAATGTCCAAAAAGACTTGACCCGGGTTCAGTGCGCGGCGGGCTGTATTTGTTCCCGAGAGGAAGCGTTCCGAGTGGATCGTCCATTAAAACACGGGAGCCCGTTGATTTATGCACGGAATTAAACGTAGCCGCCGCGGAAGCCGCTTTTAAATCGGAACGGCTCGTCGAAAAGACGAGGGCTAATTTCCTGCTCGGAGGGGTGGGCCGCAGCAGCGGGCGCCAAAAACGATGCAAATGCAGAAAACGCTTTCGTTTGCTTCAATTTGCTCAAGTGTCGAGTCGGCGGCCCCGCCTTTCCTCGCTTTCAGCCGCACCACCTCCCGACGTGACTCTTTGACTTCCGAAAGAGCAAAGTTCACCCGCGGAACTTGCGTATATGCCTCACCTCCAACTCGGTGCACATCATCCTTTGAGTTTCCCTCAACTTCGGCAAAAAGGGTTTCCTTAATGGGTGACATGAACGAACACGTTAGAAAGGTAGGACCTGTATCAAACGAGTTAAAAAGTATATCATAGGTTCAAGACTTCCTCCTCTACGATGAAATCCATCCGGCGGGTCGATTATTGAAATTTTGCGTTTGTCGGACGGATATAGGTTAAGCGGCGGAGCGTGATTGGTCGGCTATGTCTCATCCCTGCTTTGTCGTGCCTTTGTCAGGTGGAATTCACGAAAGGCTAAAAGCCCCTCTTGACTTTCCGACAGTATGTCGTCCATTCCGCCTGACTAGGACACGACAAAGCAGCGATAAGACATAGCCAACCAATCACGCTCCACCGTTTACCCTGATGTCCGCCCGCAGAGTTGGTGCCCCCCCCCCCCTAAAGCAGGCAAAGATTGTATCTTTAACATGGTGGGCGAAAACAATCGTGTCTTGTCTACTAAAACAGGCTGGCCAAAAATCAGTACTTTTCCGGTGTTTTATCAGTATATTCCCAAGAAATTCAGTACCTCCTTAACAAAAGAATTCAGTACTTTTTCAGTATCTGTAATTGACGAGATTCGAAAAATTAAATAAAATTGAATTTTCTCCTCAAATTGCGAATAAAAAATGAAAAAAAAAAATCCGAACCTTTTTGCGGAATTTCCGCACTTTTTCAGTACTTCCGGACCGCTCTTAAAGAATCAGTACTATTTCCGGACTTTCCGGACTTGTATACACCCTGACAAAGCATGGTTAAAAATGTGAAAATGGTAAATGACATAATGCATGTACGTTGTTCGCACGTTTGATTGGACTTCCACGTAAATCATAACTCAGAGGGACGTTTCCTGAGCGAAAAAACTTTCTAAGTCAAGCAAAGTTTAGACAATTCCCTCCGACCATAAATCCGGCAACGGTAACCGGCGCGAAACGGTGAAATTTTGACTCGAGAAACGGCGGAAAATATGCCGGCGAAGATTATTATTGATGCATGCGGAGACGTAATGGTGGGCAATTTCAGCGCTTAATCGGCCGTCATTTTCACGGCTGTGATCACCGATTTCCATCGCTCCTTACCCTCCCTCACCATCCTCTTTTTAAACGATCTTCCGTGTTTACATCTAATTTTGACCCGACGGAATTCGTCTCCTGCCTGTCCTCTTGATTTTTCAATCGTTTACGTGCTGAGTGTCGGCGGCTCTCCGATGCTGCCGGGAAATGTGGATTATTTCATGGCTTAATATTCAAATAATTTCAGTCACTTTGATACTGTTTAACTTGTCAGCCGAGTTCGATGTTGATAAAATGATTTTCCGACGAAACGTTTCGGAAAATAAAACGCACACGACTAACCTAAAGGGAAGGTAAAAACAATAACTTGTCTTGAGTTTTGTTTCATCATCTGTTAATTTTTTTGGAAAATATTTCAAACTAATTTGGCTTTGGTGATTTCATTGATATCTTCAATCTTCATTTTTCCTGAGTTTTTCATAAAATTGGGATCTTGAAGCATGAATAATTTCTTCCTACCAGGGATACACTTGTGAGTTACAAGCGCTTGTTGAAAGTGAAACATCAAGGGGTAGGGAGGATTTTGATGGCTCGATATCGAGCGATCGAAATCCTGGATCCCTATTGGTGTTTCACTCTCAACAAGCGCTTGTAACTCGCAGGTCTATTTGCCGCTTTAAGCAATAAACCTGACTAGAAAGTCATAACCATAATGCTCTTGGGAACTAACAATTTTGCATGTCAAAGAAATATTGCACCCATGGTGCTTCCAAAACTAATTGAAAATAATATATGCAAAGCGGATTAATAAAAATCAGTCTACTATGGCAAATATTCTTAAGCCAGACAGACCGACCGTTGGCCTGCAATTACGCAAGCACACAACCCGATCTACGAGGAATGTTTCGTTAATATATTCCATTTCTCAGGAGTTTTGGTTCCGTTTCTACGTCTTGTGGTGTAAACTCACAATTTGTTTACAATGTAAACTTCCTCGGGCCGGCAACGCCCCGCGATGCGAGGCGACTCGGGTTTCGCGCTCACTCTAGCTGCGGAAGTCTAGAATTAATTACAGCGTTTAATATAAAGACGATGATAAATCTCTTTGCACCCAATCGAGGCAGTGGTGTCGCATCGAACTTCAAAACATAGACTTTCTATGAAAATGGATTTGCATAAATATACGGAGAAAAAGAGCCAAATAGGTAGAGGCTAAGTTCTAACTTTGAGATTTCCAATTAATTGTGGTAGAGCCGCAATTTATTGTGGCACTGCCTCCACAAATTGCGGTAGTACCCCAATTTAGTGTGGCAGTACCCCGATAAATTGCTACAGTACCCAAATGTATTGTGAGAGCACCATGATATACTGCG